AAACGTCAGAGGGAAAAGAAATAGAGGTTCTGGGTGGTATTCAGACAATGAGCCAAAAGTCAGAAGTTCTGTGTTGTGCTATTCAGTGAGTGAAAATCAAAAGTTCTGTGCGTTAAAACAGTAAGAAAACCTAGAAGTTATGTGTGTGTTAAAACAGTGAGTGAAAAATCAGAGGTTATGTGCGTTAAAACAATAAGAAAACCTAGGAGTTCTGTGTGTGTTAAAACAGTAAGAAAGCCTAAAAGTTCTGTGTGTTTAACATGTAAGGAGAACTCATAAGTTTTGTGTTGTGTTAAAATAGTGAGTAAAAACCAGAAGTTTTGTGCATTAAAATAGTAAGAAAACCTAGGTGTTTTGTGTGTGTTAAAACAGTAAGAAAGCCTAGAAGTTATGTGTGTGTTAAAACAGTAGTGAAAAATCAGAGGTTTTGTGCGTTAAAACAGTAAGAAAACCTAGGAGTTTTGTGTGTGTTAAAACAGTAAGAAAGCCTAGAAGTTCTGTGTGTTTAACATGTAAGGATAACTCAGAAGTTCTATGTTATGTTAAAATAGTGAGTAAAAATCAGAAGTGGTACGTTAAAACAGTAAGAAAACCTAGGAGTTATGTGTGTGTTAAAACAGTAAGAAAGCCTAGAAGTTCTGTGTGTTTAACATGTAAGGAGAACTTAGAAGTTTTGTGTTGTGTTAAAATAGTGAGTGAAAATCAGAGGTCCTGTGCCACATTTCAACTTTTTCCTCATATTAATCAGCACATCAACAATCTATTCAGTTCTTAATAAACAGCAAATCAGAAGGATAAAAGCACAACAATTTATAGAAGTTCTAATCCTAAATCTGAGCCTAGCCCTAATCAAGAAGTTCTGATCCGCAGTTTTTCTACTTATGCAATGATATGGACAACATTAATATTGTGATGTTTACATATTTTAATGATATTCTGAATGAAAATATGCAAAGTCATAAAGACTTACCTTGAACCTGGAGCGTGTGCTTGGAACTTAAACTGCTGCCTTCAGATGTTCTGGAGTCAGCAAGAGCAACGGAAGAGAAAATGCCAAGTTCTTTGACTCAAAGGGAAGAACAAAGGTTTTCGTTTTCTGTTTGAGAATTCTGGATTTTTATGAAGGTTTCACAGTTTTTTTTTATCTCTATTGACAATTCTCTCTCTCGAAAAGCCAGCCCCTTGAACGTGTGATGGAGCCAATTATTTATAGATGGGTTTGTTGTGGTTTTTTTTGGGGGGGGGGGGAGGGACAAATGGGATTTAAACTGTTTTGGTATATTGTTCCATTGCTTTTTAATTACAGTTTTTGTATGCTAATTTGGTGCAAATATAGGGTTTGAGAAAAATGCAAGTGTGGACTAGATCAGCAGCAATTTGGAGTGTTGTGGTAGCTGGTTGCAGGACTGTGCTATAGCAGTGCAGCAGGTTGTTCAAACAAGGTTTTGGGGCTTTGTGATGTTCTGATCAAAGAAGACCAGAATGAAACTCGAAGGGTGATGCTCTGATCGAAGCATATGCTGAAGAGTTATGTTCTGATTGAAGAACTATGTTCTGAACCATGTTTGCAACTTCTGAATGCACTTGCGTGGAGGCTGGTTCAGAAGTTCTGAAGTATCATATTCTCTTAGCACTTAGAAATTTTTTCTAAATGTTTAGAAATTTGATTTTTTCAAAGTAATTTCTGACTTCTGATTTTTTTGATGAACCAATTTCATGTCTTGATGAAATATAAACTTGATTTTTGATTTAAAAGTCAAAGTTTGACTTTTCAGTATGCTTTTGACCATTTTGCCCTTGTGAATGATTTTCTTGAAAAGTTGTAATTCAAGACTTGAAACTTGATAAAAGAAGACCTAAGGATCCAGGATGATCCTTTGAGAAATGAGAGAGCAAATTTTGGGGTACAACAGAGAGGATGTGGATGCTACAACCTTCAAACAGATGGTTGGTTCTCTAAGGTATTTGTGTAATACTAGACTTGATATTTTCTATGCAGTTGGAATGGTTAGCAGATTTATGAGCAAATCAAAGTGGTCTCATTACCAAGCTGCAATCAGGATTCTGAGGTATGTGAAGGGAATTCTGAAATATGGAGTGTTATTTCCGTCTGGAAGAAAGATCGAATCAGAACTTGAGTTATTTTGATTCTGATTCTTAGCTGAATATATTGCAGGAGATCTGACTGCGTGTCAAACTGTGTGGATTCTGAACTTGCTGAAAGATCTGAAGATTGAGGTAAATAAACCTCTGAAGCTGATGATTGATAACAAGTCTGCAATCAATCTTGCTAAGAATCCAGTGTTGCATGAGAGAAGCAAGCATATTGAGACTAAGTATCATTTTCTAAGGAATCAAGTTCAGAATGAAATATTAGAAGTTGTGCACTGTAGCACCCAGAAGTAGCTGACAGATGTTCTGACAAAGGCTATCAAAATTGATCAATTTCTTGGTTTAAGGGATGGAATTGGTGTTGTCAGTTTTGGGTAAATATAAATTAAGGGATGATGTTAGAATTAATTTAGATTTTATAATTAATTAGATATTAATTTATATTTAGGAATATCTTTTAGATTGTTTATATCTTTGTTAGAAGACATATATCTTAGATCTTCTTATATCTTTGTTAGAAGATATATTTTAGATTTAATTTTGTCTATAAATAGCCTAGTGGAGTAGGTTATTATAATTCATTGTAAATCCTTATTCTGAAGCTGTCAGTAAATATAATTCCTTTTGTCTTTTATCTTCCTTGTGCACCAACAACTAGGAGTATAAATAGGTCTGATCGATAATAAGGGTCTACGACCTAGCCTGCATAGGCTCTTGCCAGGCTAAAATTTATCTTTTTAATAGAAAAGAACTGTGCTTTTTTATAAGCATATTTAGTTAAAAAGACTAGACATCTGACCATGAAAAAAACCATTTAAGTCTAACAAACCGGCCTATATAAATAAATATGAATAATTTTTTTATTATCATTATGTTATATTTTGTATTTTAAATCAAAATACATTAATAAAACTTAATTATCTTGGAGAACTTATGAAAATAAGATGAAAACACCTTATGAACAATGTTATAAGTTGTTGTTGTAACACCCCCAGATTGCATTTAGGATTAACTTAAGTGTGGAGTTCTTATGAATGAGTTATTGAAAAGAAGATGTATTTTGTTGATATATGTAGTACCAACTAATCTTTATAAGTCTTCTTTCAACCATGCAGTCTCATTCTTGTATAGCCTCAGGATCCCTCTCATTCCGATGTGACTACCACATTTGTCATCTTAGACCTCGGGTGTTACATGTGATGCAACCACTTATCGCCCATTTCAGCCTCGAATATTACGGTTCTCATAAAATTTATGCTAATAAATTAGTTAAACTAAATCAATGCAAATAAACTTTTAATTTCATTAACTTTTTAATTTGTCAGTCTATTTATTAAATATTATTTAAATTGATTACTTATACATGCGTAAAATAATAGATTTTTATATAGATTAACAAACTAACTAAGTTTTAAAAAATTTCAAACTCAAATATAAAAATAAATCTATGACTACAGACTAAATTTAGAATTCAATTATTTTATTTACAAGTCAAACTTAAATTTAGCAAAACGTAATTCAGTTGAGCATATTTTCATATGATGGAGGGAGTAATAAATATAAAGCGTCTCTATTACATACCCTACCCTATTATCAAAAAATTTATGAAACACATGCAGTGTCAGAATGCCACCGACTTACCGCTATAGCTTCTTCCACGTGTCAACTTCCTCACGGCTTTATCATGTTGTGAATTGTGATCACATTACTCAAATTCTTAGATCTGAGCTTAGGAATTTCCTAATGCTTCAAACTTAGTTTTCCTTAACTTTTATACAAAGAGAATCAATTCAATTACAATTTTCTTTGCATTTAAAAATAATTGAATTTCCATTAGTAAATATATATTATTATATCAATTACTCTCTTTATAATAATTTATAAATAAATTTGACTTTTTAAATATATTTACTAATTAATATATTTAATTTATATATAAATTAGATATATTAATTATCAAATATACTAAAAAAAAAAGTTAAATTTGAGAGAAATATGTTTATAATTTTTTGGTGGTTATGATCATTAGTCTATTCTTGATGTTTCTGAGTCCTCAATTATTATGATTTTTTGTCGTTTTATAACTTAACTAATATTACTAAATTTCGAATACCAAATAACTATTTAGACCAAACAATGTAGAGTCAAGTCAGACAATAGATAGCTGGACATATATTTATAATTGGAGTCAAGTTTCCCTTTACAATTTGATTTTGTAAAGGTGAATTGAATATTTGGATTTAACCGCACATTATTAAAATGAAATTAAAGTTTGGTTTAAAATTTGTTAGATATTTTCTATTGGTTTAACTGTGGTCATCATCATTTATATTTATTGACAAAATCTCAATTTTTATATGGATCGAAAATAGAATATAGAAATAATTAATATAGAGAGACATCATTTATCTTATAAATCTATTTATAAGAATAAATTAGATTAAATTTTAATGTGATATCAGAGTTTATTGATCGAATCTTGAATTATTCATCCTTTAAATCTATGCAACAAAATTTTGGACCGTCCATCCTTTAAATTTAGACATCAAATTTAAAAGAATGTTAAATGTGAAGGGTGCGATAATAGTCTGACATCAACTTATTTATGTATCTATAACTTAACTGATTCTCATTTTATATAACCGATTCTCATTTTATAAATCGATTTTATAGTGCTGAATTAGGATATATGAGAACAAATAATTGAAACTAGCCAACACATTGTATATTTTAGTAATTCATCAGAAAAGCAAGGCTTCTTAAATATAAACCACTTGACAAACCATAGCTGGCAGCATATGAATTCTACATTCTCATCCCAACTCATAAAAAAGCTCCTTACTTAATTTGCTTCTACACAATAATTTCACACACACACACTAAGAATAATGGAACATAGAAGAAACTCATCATCATCATCATCAACATGGTTCCTATTCACAACTCTTTCTTGTCTTTTTCTTTCATGTTTCTTAGGATCTGTTGGAGCTTACAAAAATTACACAGTGGGAGATTCTTTAGGCTGGTTTGACAAACTTGAAAAACCTGCGGTTAATTATCAGAAATGGGTTGCCAAAAAACAATTCAGCTTGGGAGATTTTCTCAGTAAGTCATTTGTAGCTTTTGAATTTAATCACTTCTTATAGCATATGTATTTTAGTTTCAATTCTTTGATCTGATCTCCTATTTCACTGAACTATGTTCTGTTTATAATCATAAATATTGGTAAAAATATTTTACTTTAGATCATGAAAAATCATGACATGGAAAGAAGGCAGAATTTGATGGTATGATCATTCATCTTGTAATTTTTTTTGTTTTTAAGCATATATGAGCTAGGTAACATCATCGCCTCTGAAATAAGACGTGTCTGGTGTCTGGTGTCTAACTTGTGATTCAATTTATTCATTTCTTTAAATTATTATCGAAATTAACGTGTCAGTGTCAATGTCATATGTGATATTCATATATGATAGTATATGAGAATCAACTTTCTCTTCACAAAAGTAGTTTATGAGAGTGGCATAAAATTAGATTGGTTAAAATTTTCAATTATAATATTTATTATGAATTATGATTACTGATATAGTGGTTATGTTTTTTATTTCCTCCATGTGATGTATATGCTGTTTTTTGGGGTATGTTGTAGCATTTTGTCCATTTATAAAAGTTGTGCTTAAATTAGAAGCACTGACAAAAGTACAATGTACTTTTCTTGTTATAGAATCTTTCACAACCGTAATTATTCTCAAAATAGCTTAACAAAGAAAATTAGTTACTGAAAATGACAGTTTCTGGTACTTTGTCTTGTTTTTATTCCTTTCTTTTGTTACAAATATTCTTTTTTGATACCGAGTGATCACTATGAATCATTGTCTCACCCAGACAAAGTGATTTATAGCAATCACCCGAATATTTGATTATCAGACACAATATTGATATTAACACTGACACTTTGATTTTTTTTATGTAGTTTTCAATACGGACAGTAACCACACTATTGTTCAAACATACAATTTCACAACATACAAACAATGTGACTACGATGATGCACAAGACAAAGACACACTCCAATGGTCATCGGGTTCTCAATCCAACGGCGAAGTAACTCCACTGACAGTGGCAGTTCCTTTGTTGAAAGAAGGACCAACATATTTCTTCTCAAGTGATTATGATGGTGAGCAATGCAAAAATGGACAACATTTCAAAATAAATGTGACTCATGGATTAGGGTTGCCGAAGAGTCTTCTACCGGAAGATGACTCTCCGTCGCCTAGTAGTCCAGTTTCCGGTGACGATGACTCGGCACCGGACACAACTGTTCCTTCCAATTTCAACAATCCTAAGGAAGACAAAGATGATGATAAAACAAGTGATGAGAAATCTGGTTCTTATTCAGTGTTGAAGTATGCACAACTTTACAACAAGTTTTATGTGTTTCTTGTCTTGTTAGGGGTGTTTTTGTTATTTTAATAAGTTAAAATACATTTATTTATTTTATTGTAATTCTTTTATAGGTGTTATTATTTTGTTCATGTGAGGTGTGAGATAATAGGATATACCATATATGTTATATTGTTGTATAAACTTCAAATTATATTTATGGTGTAAACTTCAAATTATATTTATTGAAAAAGAACAAGAGTTCGAGAAATAATATGAATCAATGCCAAATCATGGTGGGCCAGAGATGTTAATGGCAAAGCTAAAGAGGCCGCAATGTTAGTTGCAATTCTTATACAAGTTATTATGACGGATTGTAATTTAACATGAAATAGTTTGAATAATGTGACTTTACCTTTTATATCAAGGATCATGTTTGTTTATAGTTGTCATTTTTGTGTTTAGTTTTCTTTTTTCATCAAGGATCGTGTTATTTATAGTTGACTCATAATTTTAGTTGTATCTTAACATGTTATTTATAATCGTATCGTAAAAGTATTAAATGTAGTTGAAATATGTTGTTAGCCGCTACTTGAATTACAAAATAGTGGATGAAAGATTTGTGGAAGCTCAAAGCCACGAAATTCAGAAAATTATTCATGAAATCATAACTGAAGGTATTGCCCCTCGATGAACAATTTCATATTGCTGTTATAATTGACAAGCTCCCCCCTGGTTGTAAAGATTTCAAAAATTTACTCCGATATAAAACTAAAGAATTTTCAATCGAGAGTTTGATTACTCGCCTTCGAATTGAAGAGGAAGCTCGAAGACAAGATCAGAAAGATGAAGTCTTAGTTATTTCAAACAACAAAAAGAAATTCGGTGTGGTTCTGAAGCCTACGGGCAGACCTTTAAAGAATCAGAACCGCAATATTGTGAACCGAATTAGGAATGAGAATCCCTTTAGGGTCCCATATGCTCCAATTCCTAGACAGCAACCACCACCTCAGAGAAATGATGCTCCAGTTTTCACTTGCTACAATTGTGGGAAACCGGGTCATATGACTAAGAAATGTAAGAGCTGGCCTAAACCTGCTACTGGCTCAAATGCACAGGTTAACCTGACTGATGAGCAATTCATTGCTATGATCATTGAAGTCAACATGGTTGGTGGAAGTGATGGTTGGTGGATAGACACTGGCGCCTCTCGTCATGTTTGTTATGATCGTGTTATGTCAAGACATACACGAATATTGAAGATAAGAAAGTGTTGTTGGGAGATGCTCACACCACTAATGTTGCTGGAATTAGAGATGTTGAGTTGAAGTTCACCTCAGAAAAGACTTTGATCTTGAAGGACGTCATGCATGTTCCTGAAATTAGGAAGAATCTTATTTCTGGTTTTCTTTTAAATAAGGTTGGGTTTAGTCAAACTATAGGGGTAGATTTGTACACCATCAATAAAAATGGTATTTTTGTTGGGAAAGGGTACGCCACTGATGGCATGTTTAAGTTGAATGTTGATTTGAATAAAATTTGTCCTTCTGTTTATTTTTTGTGTGACCTTAATATTTGGAATGTTATACTTTGTCACGTTAATAAGCGAATTATGTATAATGCAAGCAACTTAGGCTTGATCCCGAAATTAAATATCAATGATTCAAATAAATGTGAATATTGTAGTCAAGCTAAAATAACTAAGACATCACATAAATCAATTATAAGAGAATATGATCCCCTAGACCTTATACACTATGATATATGTGAATTATATGGAACTTTAACTAGGAACAGTAAACGTTATTTTATCACTTTTATTGATGATTGTTCTGATTATACTTATGTATACTTGATGAAGAATAAAATTGAAGCACTTGATATGTTTAAGTTGTATGTAACTGAAATTGAAAATCAATTTAGTAAGAAGATTAAGAGACTTCGTAGTGATAGGGGAACTGAATATGACTCTGGTCTATTTAATGATTTTTATAAAGAACATGGAATTGTACATGAAACGACTGGTCCATATTCTCCTGAAATTAATGGTAAAGCAGAAAGAAAGAATAGAACTCTTATTGAACTTGTTGTTGCAATTATGATGAATTATGGTGCTGCACCTCACTGGTGGAGGGAAATTTTATTGACTGTTTGCCATGTCCTGAATAGAGTCCCCAAGTCAAAATGTAAGATATATCCTTATGAGATATTAAAGAAAAGACAACCAAACTTGTCTTATTTGAGAACTTGGGTCTGCCTGGCTTATGTCGGAATTCTGTATCTGAAACGAGTTAAACTCGCTAGTAGAGCATATGAATGTGTTTTCATTGGGTATGCAGCAAACAATAAGGCATATAGGTTTTATGACCTAAAGGAAAAATTGATCATAGAATCAAATGATGCTGAATTCTATGAAAACAAATTTCCTTTCAAATTGAGAAATACTTGGGGCACACAATCGAATCACATTCCTATGATAAGAAGCACAGAAAGCAACGACAATGTAGAAATAAAACTTCGACGAATTAAACAAGTAAGAGTTGCTAAAGACTATGGGCCTGATTATAAGGCTTATAATGTAGAAGAAGATCCAATGAATCTTCAAGAAGCCTTGTCATCTCTGGATGCTGATTTATGGCAAGAAGCTATCAATGATGAGATAAAATCTCTAGAATCTAACAAGACCTGGAACTTAGTAGACTTGCCTCCTGCTTGCAAACCAATCGGTTGTAAATGGGTTTTGAAAAAGAAACTAAAACCTGATGGAACTATTGATAGATACAAGGATCGCCTTGTTGCCAAGGTTTTTAGACAAAGAGAAAATATAGATTTCTTCGACACCTTTTCTCCTGTCACTAGAATTACATCCATTAGGGTACTTATTTCAATAGCTTCTATTTATAACTTAATAGTACACCAAATGGATGTTAAAACAACTTTTTTAAATGGTGACTTAGAAGAAGAAATCTATATGGAACAACTGGAAGAGTTTGTGATCTATGGACAAGAAAACAAGGTCTGTAAGTTAGATAAGTCTTTGTATGGCTAAAACAAGCTCCTAATCAATGGCATGAAAAATTTGATAACTTAATGATATCAAATGGGTACAAAGTGAATGAAAGTGACAAATACGTTTACTATAAATCTTAGATTCGCATATGCACTATCATATGTCTCTATGTAGATGATATACTCATATTTGGATCAAACATTCAGACTATTAATGATGTGAAATCACTGTTGAGCAACAACTTTGATATGAAAGACCTCAGAGAAGCAAGTGTGATCCTTGGTATCAAGATCACGAGATATGAACAAGGAATTTCTTTGGATCAATCACACTTTGCGGAGAAGATCTTAAAGAAATATAAATACTTTGACTGTAAACCTGTATGCACAACATATGATCTAAGTGTGAAATTGTTTAAGAACACTGGAGAAAGTGTCAGACAATCAGAATATGCCAGCATCATTGGCAGTCTTAGGTATGCCACTGATTATACTAGACCCGACATTGCATATGTCGTAGGATTGTTATGCAGGTTTACGAGTAGACGGAGTAAAGAGCACTAGCAAGCTATTGAATGAGTCATGAGGTACCTCAAAAGAACCATGGATCTCGGTCTACATTATCAGAAGTTTCCTGTTGTACTAGAAGGGTACAGTGATGCAGATTGGAATACTTTGTCATATGATTCCAAAGCTACTAGTGGCTATATATTTAGTATAACTGGAGAAGCTGTATCTTGGAAATCAAAGAAACAAACTATCCTAGCTCAGTCCACAATGAAATCTGAGAGGATATCACTAGCCAAAGCTAGTGAAGAAGTAAGTTGATTGAGATGCTTGCTAGTTGAGATCCCTTTATGAGAAAAACCTATGCCAGTTGTATTGATCCACTGTGATAGTACCGCGGCTATTGAAAAAATTGAGAACCGTTATTATAATGGTAAAAGACGTCAAATAAGAAGAAAGCACAACACTGTCAGAGATTGTATCTCTAAAGTAGCTGTAAGAGTGGATCATGTACGCACTGATGAAAACTTAGCAGATCCTTTGACGAAAAGATTAGCTAGAGAGAAAGTCCATAATACATCCAAGAAGATGAGACTAATGCCTATAAAGAAATGAGTTGCTCATGATGGTAACCTGACCTAGATGACTAGAGATCCCAAGAAATAGGTTCAATAGGTAATAACAAGTTGTGAGTAGTATGAGATGATTATGCAAGTAAAGCATGAATCCTGAAGTAATAAGAGGATGAGATAATAAAAGCTCTTAATGAGATCTATACTCTATATGAGGGAGTACCTAGGCTACATGAGTACTCTTGATAGACTCACCTTTGTGATTGTGGAACTTGGGTCGGTTCCTATGGAATTGCGAGGTAGAATTCCTAGAGCCTTCACTAAACCAGGATACACGTGCAGGGCCATTAAAGCACGGGCTATTAGAATACACCTTAAGAAAAGTTTGTGTGTGAGTCTGATGTCTGAGATAGATTTCAAGCCAATAATGTCACTCTTGTTGAATTGGAATCCTACTTGTTACGTAAAGGTTCAAGTTGTAGACACCTTTGTTTATGCATAATCTTAGAAACATTTGACGTACTTCTAAAATCACCTTTTAAATTTAAGTGGGGAATTGTTGGAAATATTGGTATGATGTTAACTTGGAGTGAGATTTGGAATGGTTTATTGACATTAAATAGGCAATAAATATGCATAAGTAAGAACTAGTATGAAAGTGAATTTGAAAGGATTCATTTTAGTCCCACATAGGAGGGAATACAAATACTAGTAGTGTATATATATTTCAACTTGGCCAATTGGGTTGGGCCCCAAAGGGCACCCCCATTTTGTAAAGGAGTGAGGACACACCCATAATCCATCTAGACAAACACACGTGTGCACCGACGCCGCCGGCCGGCCGGCTCGATTCGGTTTGGTTTGGTGGAAATTAAAAATAAGAAATTAATTAATACTAATATTAATTAATTACGAAATGGTGATGTGTCCTGCACAGAAACTAAGTCTTAACATATTCTTTGACTGGTTATGCTTGCCCTCCAAGAGTCATACGTGTACGTGTGACTCGCTGACCAAGTGGAATAACGACTACATTTAACTGGGCCGATTCCACTATCTCCCATGATTTTCTCCCACGATACTTGTTCCACTCAGTTGGATTATTTGCCTATAAATAGAATTTTTCGATTCATTTGTTAAATCCCAGAATTTATAACTACAATTCTCTCTTCTCTCTCTCTCTACTCTACTTCATCTACAAAATTTCTTTTTCTTTTTTCGACTGGAAATTCCAAATACTACGACTAGTTTTATATCATCTGAAGGTGTAATTCTTATAACGATTTATTACAGTGCAAGTAATAATCGTATTTCTGAATGGACTATTTTATCCTGGAGACTTCATC